AGGACACAGCTCAGTGGTAGAACACTTGCCTGAGGACACAGCTCATTGGTAGAACACTTGCCTGAGGACACAGCTCAGGGGCAGGGCACTTGCCTGAGGACACAGCTCAGGGGCAGGGCACTTGCCTGATAAGCACAAGGCCCCAGCACCTCAAAAAAAGGTTTTCTTCAGCCAAGGATTTAAAGCCCATTTCTTTACTTTCTAGCATTATCCTGGAATCCTTGAATCACTGAAGTCCATAAATGAACTACAGACCTAGAAATATTTAAAATTACAGACTGGAGAGGTGGCTCAGAGGTTAAGAGCACTGGCTGCTCTTCCAGAGGACCAGGGTTCAATTCCCAGTACCCACATGGTGGCTCACAACTGTCTGTAACTCCAGTCCCAGGGGATCTGACACCATCACACTAATGCACATATAAGTAAATAAATCTTTTTTTTTTTTTTTTTTAAAGAATTATTTGGAGGATCCCCAGTGTGGTGGCGCATACCTTTAATTCCAGCGCTCATGAGGCAAAGACAGATGGGTCTTTGTGAGTTCTAGGACAGCCTGGTCTACATAGCAAGTTCCAGGACAGCCAGGGATACATAGAGAGGCCCTGTTTTCAAAAAATACAAAAGAATTATTTGGAGGATTGACAAGATGGCTCAACTGGCAAATTCCCTTGCCACCAAGCTTGGCAGCCTGGGTTTCATCCCCAGAACGCACATGGTGGAAGAAACCCCATTCCTGTAGGCAGTCCTGCGACCTCCTCGTTCATTTGTGCATGAGCATACACACACACACACACACACACACACACACACACACACACACACACAATAAAGATTTTTAAGAGTTAAGAATTATTTAGCTTCCATTCTAATAGCCACTATTGTTAAGAAAAAATTAATAAATTAAGAAAAATCAATAAATTAAGAGAAATACTTAATAAAAATGTCAGTCTAGTTCTGGTAAAAGGACCAGGTTTTTTTTCTGCCTGCTTCATAGATCTGTGAAGGACTTCCTTCTTGAACTTGATGAAACTCTGATCTTCAGTCACTGTGTGATGAGGGGCTATTTAAACACTTGTGCTCTTATTCCTGAGTTTATTGTAATGCTTTTTTTTCTAGTGGAGCTAGAAACTTTGCCCCTTGATCTTTGGGCTTAGCAAATAATAGGATTTTCTTTTTTAACATATAGAGCTTGATAGAGTAAGAAAAATATTTGGTACTAAAAGGTCTGTCACAATTATAACAATTCTTAGCAATGTTATATCTAAAACTACCTGATACCACATTGCTTGTGTCTCAGATTTTCTGCCTGCTCAGAACTGAGGTTTTGTAGTAGTGAACAGACTGGGTAAGTATTTTTCATGGGATTTCTGTAACCTTCATTTTTCTTGTTGGGAACAGGTCTGAAGGTTGAAGTGACTCATTGTGGAACAATGAGACGGAAATATCGTGTTTGTAATGTAACAAGAAGGCCTGCCAGCCATCAAACGTAAGGAAGCTGTGTCTCCCCCAGCAGTGATGTGAGGCAGCTGACTCTAAGGAAGGGGCTGGTAGTTTGCTAGCTCACGATAGGATAAGAGTTGCTCATGTCAGCTCCTCTTTTTTCCAGCTTTCCTTTGCAGTTAGAAAATGGCCAAACTGTGGAGAGAACTGTAGCTCAGTATTTCAGAGAAAAGTACGCTCTTCAGCTGAAGTACCCTCACCTTCCCTGTCTGCAAGTGGGGCAGGAGCAGAAGCATACGTACCTGCCTCTAGAAGTAATGTCTTTACACTGCTTATGACTAGCTTCTGTTCATCTTTCTCTGTGTGCGTGCACATGTGCGTGTGCGTGTGCATGTGCGTGTGTGTGCGTGCATTTATGTAGGTCAGAGGAGGACATCAGGAGTCTTCCTATATTGCTATCCATCCATTTTTTGAGATGAGGTCTCTCACTGAATCTGAACTTACTGTTTGAGCTGGACTAGCTGACCAGAGACCCTCCAGGATCTGACTCTCCTGTTCCCCTTCTTCTCCTCCCAGCACTGAGGTTACAGGCATACACCACTAGGCCTTGCTTTTTACATTGGTGCTAGGGATCTGAATTCAGGTCCCAATGCAGCAAGCACCTTACCCACAGTGTCATCTCCCTGGCCCTGTTCATCATTCTTCTAGGATCTTTTATGGCCTGTGATTTATCTGAGTCTCACATTTATTTTTGAATTTGAACGATTTTTAAACCCTAATTTTTGTTAAATAAAATAGTATGTGTCTTAGTTAGAGTGCCTGTTGCTATGATAAAACATCATGGCCAGCAGCAACTTGGGGAGGAAAGGGTTTATTTGGCTTATACTTCCACATCACTGTTCCTCATCAAAGGAAGTCGGGACAGGAACTCAAGCAGCAGGGCAGGAACCCGGAGGCAGGAGCTGATGCAGAGGCCGTGGGGGGTGCTGCTTCCTGGCTTGCTCCCCATGGCTTGTACAGCCTGCTTTCTTATAGAACCCAGGACCTCCAGCCCAGGGATGGCACCACTCACAATGGGCTGGGCCCTCCCTCATCAATCACTAAGGCATTTTCTTATTTGAGGTTCCCTCCCCTGAGATGATTCTAGTTTGTGTAAAGTTGACATAAAACCAGCCAACACAGTATGAAAAGAGTTCACCCATAGTTCTACCATTGTTAGCATTTTTGCTATGCTTCTTTCAGTCTTTTTATCCTGTTTACCTTTTACCTAATTATAATCATGTGATCATGTGTACTTTGTTCTCTACTTTTTTACTTAACATGATAGTAAAAAGAAGTAGGTAAAAAAGTAGATTTTAAAATTTTTATTTAACATGTGATTGACATTGAGTGAATTCTAACAAAAATATATCCATTGTATAAATTGTTTTGTTTCCAGGTCTGTAATATTGTGGCTGGGCAACGGTGTATCAAGAAACTAACTGACAATCAGACTTCTACTATGATTAAGGCAACAGCAAGATCCGCACCAGACAGACAAGAGGAAATTAGCAGATTGGTTAGTACATAACTCTAGAAATAGGAATTTAAAGTCTATTAGGGTGAGCTACTCAAAAACAATGTCCTTACCAGCTGATGCCATATTACCATTTCATGAACTGTCGGAACTAAAAGAGATCATAGAGCCAGGTGTAGTGGTGGACGCCTTTAGTCCCAGCACTTGGGAGGCAGAGGCAGGCGGATCTCTGTGAATTCCAGGACAGCCAGAACTACACAGTGAGACCCTCTCTCAAGAAGAAGAGAAAGAGAGTTATCATGGTGTAATCTGTGGTGTGGGAGAGGGGTAAACATTAGTAAGTTATATGAGAAGGGTTCGGTTCTTCTAATTTAACTCTAGACCATTTAAATCTAGGGAACAGACTCATCAGAACTAATGTTTTAATATAGTTAACTGAACCCCCACCTAAAAGAAGGGCAAAGGGGAAACATCCAAGTATTATAACAAGAAATACTTAAATTATAATATTAACAGTCAGTCTAGAATTTCTTAGCTGCTAGTGTCAGACTGACAACTGTATACTCATGCCTGCAATCCCAGCTCTCAGGAGACTGAGGCAGGGGGCTCATTCTAAATTCTGGGCCTTTCTGGGCTACATAGACAACCTTATCTACAAACATACAAACAACTGGGCCTTGTAATCCCAGCACTCGGGAGGCTAAGGCAGGAGGATTGCCATGAGTTGGAGGCCAACCCAGCCTAGACTACAGAGTAAGATCCTGTCTCAACAACAAACTGGTTTCAATAATTCAGGACTCCCCAAGTCTTGTAGAAGAGAAGGACAGGATGCTAATATCACTTGATAAAATTCACATTACTACTTCACAGTGTATATGTATTTCAAAACATCATGTTTTGTCCAATAAAAATACATAGTGGATTTTACAAGGCTCTTGGCAAAAAACAAACAAACAAACCACAACAATAACAAAAACCTGTCTGCTGCTCTAGACCCCTCAACTGGTGTTCCAGGAAGGGGAACCATCTTGCTGATATGCCATGGCTAGAAGAACAATCTCCTGAACAATGTCACATTCTACCAGAATGAAAAATGCAAGCTTTTCCATTACATTGGCAACTTCTCCATCTCAAAAGCAAACCACAGTGATTACCATTGCAAAAGAAATACAGAGAAGGCTGGGAGTAATAGAGCATTCTTTAATCCCAGCACTTTGAAGGCAATAGCAAGAAGATCTCTATGAGTTCAAAGCCAGCCTGGTCTACATAGCAAGCTCCAGGACAGCTAGGACTACATAGAGAGACCTTGTCTCCATGTCTTAGTTTCTATAAGGAAACACCATGATCACAGCAACTCTTTTAAAGGAAGAACATTTAATTGGGGTGGGTTACATTTTCAGAGGTGTGGTCCATTATCATCATGGTGTGGCATGGTGGCATGCAGACAGACATAGTGCTAGAGCTGAAATCCCTACATCTTGATAGGCAGGCAACAGGAAGTGGTCTGTCTCACTGACATGGCTTGAGCATATATAAGATCTCAAAGCCTGCCTCCAACAAGACCACACCTACTCCAGCAAGGCTACACTTCCTAATAGTGCCACTCCCTATGGGAGTGGGAGGCCATTTCTCTCAAAATAAGGAAAGAAGGAAAAAGAAATACAGAGATGTCCTACTCACCAACCTGACCATTGCTGTCTGAGTTCTTCCATGAAATCCTGAGCACAGGGAAATAGGAGAGATAATCCCTGAGGAGCTGAGTACAGCATACCCCCTGGGAGCTCGGTGACACTTCAGGCCTTCGTGTGGACTGCAGCCAGCAAACAGTAGCTTGTCCAATCCCAGTGATCCTGAGGAAACTTCCCAAACCAAGGCTAGGAGTACAGTCACCTCTTCATTTCTCAAGCACCCAGAAGCTCTGGGGAAAGAGACAGAGTCCATTATCAGGACCACATTTAGGCTCACTTGTCTTACATTGTCATTGGGGATACTCAGAAGGGCAAAGATCTAGTGTCTCCTGTTCATATTACCCTTGAGGCGGTCATGTTCTAGCCCCTATGGAGGACTTCCAGAGTTAGCTATGAGTCCTGAAGCCAACAGACAGCACAGTCCCAGTTGACTGACTGCTGATTCATTCTGGGACTTACCACTTCCCAACTCCAGGCACCTCTGTTATGTATTCACACAACAGATAAAATGACTGTCATTAAGAGGATGCAGCAACATAGGAAACGCTTACATTACACATTACGTGAAAACAATTATATTAGTGTACGGGACCTCAGAAATGATAAGGCAGACTTGTATCAACATGTTAAAAATGATGTTTTAGGGTAATACATTTTATTTGCTTTCCTCCCCCCCCCCTCACTGCCAAGACAGGGTTTCTTTGTGTAGCTTTGGCTGTCCCGGAAATCATTCTGTGGACCAGGCTGGCCTTGAACTCAGAGATTGACCTGTCTCTACCTACTGGGTTCTAGAATTAAAGGTGTGTGCCACCACCACTTGGCTTATTTTCTTTCTTAGTTTTCTTCTTCTAATTGTGATTTATTATCTTTGTGTGCATGTGTACATGTATATAGCGGGAAGTTTTCCTGTGTCCTGGCTGGCTGGTGGTGGGTACAAATCTCTCCACTCACGTCCCCCAAGTAAACACAGAGGCTTATATTAATTATAACTGCTTGGCCATTAGCTCAGGCTTATTACTGACTAGCTCTTACACTTAAATTAACCCATAATTCTTATCTATGTTTAGCCGTGTGACTTGGTACCTTTTCTCAGTTCTGCCTTGTCATCTTGCTTCCTCTGTGTCTGGCTGTCGACTCCTGACTCAACCTTCCTCTTCCCAGAATTCTCCTCATCTGCTCACCCCGCCTATACTTCCTGCCTGTCTACTGGCCAATCAGCATTTTATTTATCAACCAATCAGAGCAACACACATTCACAGCACACAGAACACCCCACAGCATGTGTGTGGGGGTGTGTGTGTGCATGTGGGCCACAGTACAGCTGAAAAGGTCTGAGGAATCCGCTCTCTTCTTCCTCCATGTCGGTCCCAGGGATCAGGGCTTGAACTCAGGTCATCAAGCTTGGAGGGAGGAGCTTTACCCACCAAACCATCTTCTTTCCTGTTTTTCTGTGAAGATCATGCATTACTTTTATGATAAAAATTTTAAAGTTAAGAATATATAATGTTATCTGTTCATTTCTAAAAACTAAACTTAAGTAAATAAACAGATTGAGGCTGAAGAGATGGCCCAGTGATTAAGAGTACTTTCTGCTTTGGGAGAGGACATGCATCAGGAGGCTCACACGCACCTGTGATTCTAGCATAGGGACTCTGACACCATCTTCTGGACTCCATGGACGGGCGCGCACGCACGCACGCACGCGCACACACACACACACAAATACACACACATAAATAAAAATATTTTTTAAATAAACTGATAGAATACTCAAAATAGAGTGAGATTTGTTTTGTTTTGTTTTGTTTTGTTTTTAAGGAATACCTAGATCGTATGTCATTCTCCCCTGAATATCATTTAAACTGTTGGAGCAAACAAAGAGGAGAGCAATACATATGAATATATTCCCCAATAGTTTACTGGCACTTTCAGAATTTTTTTTCCATACAGGGTTTTTTATGCAACAGCCCTGGCTGTCCTGGATCTCGCTCTGTAGACCAGGCTGGCCTTGAACTCATAGAGATCCTCCAGCCTCTGCCTCCCAAGTGCTGGGATTAAAGACATGTGCCACCACACCCAACATTTGTTCAGGTTTTAATATTACTTTACATATTTTGTTTTTGAAACAGTTTTTGTTGTTTTATTAACCAAAAATTTAAAATAGTTTGATAATCATTTGTCAAATGCACAGTTGAGGGACTAAACATTGCCTAGCCTTCAAAAGACCCTGGTTTCAATCCCCAGCATCATATAAAACCACTGTGGTAGCACATACCTGCAGTCCCCGTACTCGGGAAGCAGACACTGGAAGATTAGCTCAAGACCAGTTTCAGCCGGATAACAAGTTTGAGTTTGAGATCAGCCTTAGCTACATAAACATAAAAAATGAACACTGTATCTTGTTGCTGTGATGAAACACCTTGACCAAAAGCAACTTGGGGGGGAAAAAGGGGTTACTTGGCTTACACTTCCACCTCACTGTTCATCATCAAAGGAAGTCAGAACAGGAACTCAAGCAGGGCAGGAACCTGGAGGCAGGAGCTGATGCAGAGGTCGTGGAGAGATGCTGCTTACTAGCCTACTTCTGGTTTGCACGCTTTCTTATAGAACCCAGGACTACCAGCCCTCCTTCGTTAATCACTAAGAAAATGCCCTACAGCCCATTAGGATCTTATAGAAGTAATTGTGGTTCCCTCCTTTCAGATAACTCCTGCTTGTGTCAGGTTGGCAGAAACCTATCCAGCATACACTGTCCCTAGAGACCTTACAGATACCTGCCCCATGTACTTCAGTAGATGGCAGAGAGGAGAGAGGCCATGTCTGTGCTCAGTGTTCTGGACTAGGAACATTTGAGGTACGCGCAGCCTGACATTCTGTGGTGCCTATCAACTCACTGAAGCCCAGCATTGGGACCACCTCTGTTGCAGGAATCTTAACAGTTCTTATAAATGAAATCAAACCTGAGGCCAGTTATTGGGGTGAATGCTGGTAGATCAGATGCAGAACAAGCCACAGTTATTTCACTTTGCCAATTCCTCAGCTGGTCCTATTTCCTCAGGCTGGAAGCCTCCGAATCCTTATCCAGAATGAATCTCAGCTGAACTGTGCTGCTCAAAACCTAAAAGCTTAACCAGCCAAATGCTTAACCAGGCCAAATGCTCCTAGTTTCTGGTCCTCATGCCTTATAACCTTTCTGCTTTCTACCACCACTTCCTGGGATTAAAGACTCGCTTTCTGGGATTAAAGGCATGAGTCACCATGCCTGTCTGTATCCTTGAACAGATGGATTTCTGCCTCTGGAATGCTAGGATTAAAGGAGTGAGTGCCACCATTTTCTAGCCTTTGTATCTAGTGGCTGTTCTGTCTCTGACCCCAGATAAGTTTATTAGGGTGCACAATATTTTGGGGAACACAATACCACCACACACCTCTGTCCTAGTTGTTGGCTGGCCCAGGGCATCTGATGGCCTTGCACATGCTCACTGTGGGGTAGAAGAGACTGTTGGGCACAGAGGAGGTTTCAGGAAGATGAGTGACTGAAGCTGCTTATCATGTGAGCCTTGGGCAGAATGCCCAGCCGTGCCCGGAAGAAACATGGCCCAGTTCAGTGCCCCAAGGCTAGCCTGGACAAGTGCAGATATAGCTCCAGGCATGGGCCTCACAGGTGTGCCCACTGTCACCTGACCAAACACCTGCTGAAGCACCTGCACAGGCTTCTGTTGGGGGATCGAGGTTCTGGGCTGTTCCACACTTCTTGTTCTAGAAGCCCATATTTTTAAAGCTATATTTTTCCAAAACGAGTGTAGTAAGGCTGTGATTACCACAGGACTGACT